CACACTTTCCTCTGCACACCTCCAAGAGATATTGATATATCCCTTTTCTAGGTAGCTTAGCCTACGGGAAGGTCTCTAATGGCTTGGATCCATTGAGCATTTTTTCAATGATCTGGATAAGGATAACAGCATTACTTAGCAAATTTAATGTTGCATAGCATAGGAGAGCTGGTATTTTGGATGGAAGGGTCCAAATTCACAAACCTCTCAGTGGGCTAGAACAATGGACTGAAAGTAACAAGAAAAAAATTAATAAAGGCAATGAACTCCTCAATTCACAGTAAAAAAAATATCCATTGTGTCAATATAAACTATAAGATATTCTGAGCCAAAACAAAACAAACCTTTTCTGGTCTTTTTTTTCTTGTGAACTAGGGTGTTTTTTGTATGATATTTGTTTTCTCCCATATACAGAAAGATAAATATAAGCCTTATCAATTTCATTTAAAAGGGTAAGATTCAAATCAAAAGAAGTAATAATTTCATACTTATTTGAACTGCACCATAAGTTTTCAATGTTGACTGTCATTCTTTAAGGATACAGTATTTGTGCTTGATTCATAAATATTCGTTGAATGAATGGTGACTTGAATGGTAGGGGATGGTCCCCCAGGTCCCATGAAAAGTAGCAGAAATAACTGGGGAAAGAGACTATTTACAGAGCTTTCATGCAGAAGAGACACTGAGTTTATCTCATTCCCACAAGACAGAGCAAATATAATGGCGAGTTTGGGTTCAGTTTAAGAATTTCCCAGTTCTGTTATCCAGTTAAATGGGCTGATATCTAGTATGAACAGTGACTTCTACACCAGTCCATCCTGTAGAGGCCTGGAACCAGCAGAAGAGGCTTGTAGCGGGGACTCCCACACTGGGTGTACCCTTGATTTAGTGGCTTTTCAGTCTCATCTAATGCTGAGCTTCTTTCCCTCCATTGTGACCAAAACAGTAGCAGCTTATTTTTTTTAACTACATAATTATCAACATTGCAAAGGAAACTATTACTTTTTAAAAATGTGAAGGAAACTTATAAGAACAATACTTCAGAGTTAAGGAAAACCAAGAATTTAGCAACCCTTTTTAAGCCTTGCATTTTTTCTCATCTCATCCTTTTATCACTTGGCCTCATAAATATTCATAAAGGAGTTGACCCAGAATAAGAGTATTCTAAAAATCTTTCCTAAGCTTTTCAGTTTTTCTATCTTGCCACAAGTAATTATTGGAATATAATCTCTGGTCAGCTACAGTATTGTAAAACTAGAGAGGGATCTGTTCTTTGGGGTTTTCTTTCTTTCTTTCTTAAATTAGGATTTCGAAAATTTTAGAGCTGGTGCAAAGGGACTGGTTCAATGCCAGACATTCTCTGTTAGTCTCAGATCCAAAGTGCCTGCATGTCTTGAAGCTCTCAAGCTTCAGAACTCTCTTCCTCTCACCTCCCCCACATGAGAAGGATGAGTGCCGAGAACGAGCTGTGAGCATAAAGTCGGGCTGACAGCCTAGACGTGGACTCTCGCGCAGAATGACAGCCAGGCCTTGCAAGTGGGCAGGAACTGGGCGGCTCCTTCAGCTGCACAGCAGATCTAGGGGAGGGCTGTTCTCGGTGGGACACTGCGGGGCTGTGTCCTGCGGGATGAAGTAGGCCTGGAAGCAGTTGCAGGTCTGAGAACACACCCTGTCACTTCTGCTGACTTCCCCTTCTTCCAAGTCGATGCTGCAGCACAGCAGCCACCCGTTCTGTCTCCACATGACCACTTTTTGTTCTTTGCCATTTGTGCAGAAAATTGTCCTTATTTGCCAAAGTCCTCTTTTCTCTGTCACGTGTGTGCTGGCCACCTGTTGAACGGTAGACAGCAATGGTCTTCTTTCAGACTCTTTGGTCACGTGAAATGATGCTCCGAAGCTGAACCCTGGTGGCACATTTCTCTGGTGTGTTTACTGAGGCAGCCCAAGTTTTGACTGTAGAGCCACTAACTTGGCGTATGACCTGGGGAACATAAATGAATCTCTCTGAGCCTCACTTCCCTCATCTGTAAGTTAGGGCATTGCAGGGTCTTCCGGGAGATTTTAGATATGATGTATAAGTGCCAAGTTCAGTGTCCAGCGTGTGGATGATGCTTAATAAATCATAGCTGCTATAATTATTTTTAACTCATTTAATTTATATAGACTCTTATCACAATTCCAATTTAACTCTTGAGATGTTTTGTTGTTTATTAGTTGGTTAGTGCTGGGGATTGAACCCACGCCCTCGCTCTTGCTAAGCACACACTCTGCCCCTGAGCTGACTCCTGGCCCTAATATTTATGCTTTATTAGTTAGCACTTATTCATTTATTTTCTTTCTTTTCTTTTCGAGACAGGGTCTCACTATGTAGTTCAGCCTGGCCTTGAACTCACTATGCAACCCAGGAGGGACTTAAACTTACAAGAGTTCTGCCTCCCAGGTACTGTGATTAAGGCATGCACCATCACACCTGGAAAGATTTTCTAACTGAATGGAAGCCCATTTACCTTTATATGATGCACTTTCACTTCTTATCTGTAACTGTTATCCTTGTCATTTGCTGCTAGGGGAGAATGGAAGGTTCGTATTTGACTGAAAATCAACATTGCCAGGAACAGAAGAAACCTTTCTTTTCCAAGATTGTCAATTGTTTTTTTAATTGCTTGTTGTTCCTAACTATAAAGAAATGGGAGTTAAACTATATTAAAATTTGCAGTTGTCGGTCCCATGAGTGTTTGCTTTTCGGAACTGTGGTAACATGGATTTCACGCTCCCCAAAGTCTCTGCCCCAGGAGAATTCAGTTACCTAGGCTTGTGGCAAAGTTAGAAAATAGTTTTCTCACTGCCTTTTACAAGCCAGTTAAGAGTGCTCTTTGCCAACCTATAGTGACCTCCAAGTAATGTCCTGTCCTTTACTCTAGAGCTGCCTCCTCCTGCATCCTAACTCCAGAGCGCTATGGCTGAATTTCAAGGCCAGCCCTTCGCTCTGTAGTCCCCACCCACCCTGCTCTTCCTCGAGCCTGTCTTGTCCTACACCCTGGTCTTCTACGTGGCCTCCCTAAGTCTTGCTTGTGCTCATCTGTGGCCCCTTTTCAGGCCAGCCCCTTCACCTCCCTGGAGCCTGAAGACTGTCCTCTTATGGCTGATGAAGGGATGACTGCATATCTTGAATGTTAGCTTGCTGAGTCTGCAGTGGTGATCTCAACCTTGGCTGAACATTGAATCCCCTGGGAAGCTTTAAAAAGTGATGCTTGAGTCACATGCCCTTGAGATTCTGCCTCAGTTGCTCTCAATTGTGGCCTGGTCATCAGAATAGTTGAAAGCCCTTCCAGGAGATTCAGCAAGCAGCCAAAGTTGAGAACCACTGATCTCTAAACTTGATCAGTCCCCAAACTAGGGATAGGTCTAATAATAGCCTTATTTGTTCCCCAAAAGACTTGTGGGTACAGTGTTTTAAATAGTTCATGTGAGTATATAGAACATACAAGTGGCTTTATCCACTTTGTGTTAATTTGGCAGATTTGAAGGAAGGAAATAATACAGTTCCCTTTTTGAAAATTCAACTCCTCGATAACTTCACTGAAGTAGCAGCAACAATTAGCCTTTACTGAGCTCCTAACATGGTCCTGTGTGAATAACTTACTGTCAACCCCAAGAGTGACCCCCAGTTTTGCCTTTTTTGATTATTGAGCTTCCTGAGGTCCAGAATGCACGTGCAATTCCCTGGGACCAAACTTGAGCCCAGGTGCATTGGATGACAAACCCTTACTGTCTTTCTATCCTCTGGAAAGGGACACCTTAATCACATAGCTTCCCAATGAGGATATACTTACTTTAAATTTGGGGTTGCATACTTTTTTAAGTAGGTTGCATTCTTTTCTATATCACAAACTTCCATAAATTTGATTTCTGATTCACTATCAAGTTGCCCAAGTGTATATAGGACTGGGAGACCATGTAATAAAATCAGTTTTCTCTGCACTAAGGTGACTTTATTGTAGAAAGCATCAACTTCTAACACCTAACCTATTCTGTCTTTTATTTTGTCTTCTTTGTTTGATTGAAGAGGATCCTGAGGTCCAGAAAGAACATCGATTTTGAGGTAGTGAATAAGCAGTGATATCTCCATTTTGCAGAAAGGGGAAATCTTATGCCAAGCATTAACTATCTAATAACCATTAGTAAGAGCTGCTACTAATTGGATCTTAATAAGTATGGACTCTGTATTAAGCTGTTTATATCCTGTGTATAATCCTTATTTTATGGATGAGGAAACTGAAGATGAAAAAGCAAAGCCACTTGCCCAGGATGCTATAAGCTAATAATTGAGCACAATGTTTGTTTTCTTGTTTTGTTTTGTTTTAACTTGCTTATGAGCAAAACTGCAAGACCTAGTCTTCATTTGATGGCGGTACATCTGAATAACCTTGTCTGGAATAAACCTTGGAAGCATAACTGGATTTTCTTCCTATGTGCTGAATGGACATTTAAAAGCTGTTGTGAAACAAAAGACAAAACAAAACAAAAAATTGTGCCAACCTTGAATATCATCCTGAGGTCAAATAGGCTCTAACTGTCCCTCCTCCAGGCATCTCGCTGTGAGGCTGCCTTGGTGTGAACAGCCCTGAAGGTGAGAACTGGCTCTTGGAGCATTTTCACACCCCATCCGCCTATGAGCTCTGCTGCTTCTCACCATTGCAGGTTGGCATGAGGACCAAGTCACTGTCATTAGGTCACCTCATTACTGCATAGACCCTAAGGACAGAAGTCATCTCCCCCATCACTAATGATGAATGTGCCAATTTATGTTCTCTCTCTTCAAGCATATAAAGACGTGATATTTTCTGCTTTGCTAAAATACACACACACATTATAGATAATTAAAGGAGACGTAGTATGGTGAGTGGCTGGGAGAAGGAAGCGCCAAGCAGCCTGTGTCAGGGCAGAGCTTTACTAATTGAGTGCAAGCCTTTTAAAAAATGTTGTTTATCCCCCTACAGGGCATACAAAACCATTGAGGATGATGACTTGAAGTTTCCCCTTATATATGGCGAAGGCAAGAAGGTAGGCATGCATGCTTCCCTGGATGGAAAGGAGGCCATGTCCCTTGTTGCTCTGCATAGCCCTTGGCAGTCTGTGTGTTCTCAACATTTGGGAATTTATAGCCTTGACAGCTTGAAAGAATATTATATTCATCACCCTTCAGGCCACTTGTCTTAAGGGTCCGAAGAGTTGAGGACAGAGGAAGATGGAGTGTGAACACAAGGAATGAAAGTCAATTTTGTGACTATAACACCCCCTACCCAGTCCATTGGAGTTATCTTTTTTGTTGTTGTTACTGGAGATCAAACTCGGGACCTTGCACTCATGAGGCAGGTGACAGCACCACTGAACTAAACCCCCGGCCCTGAGTATCTTTTTATGGTGTTTAAACACTGCCACTTTCACGTACATCATCTCATTTTATATCTGGTAACAGAAGCAGATCAAGCCTGCAGTGGTAGAGGAGGCAGTGGAGACTATAAGGTTTCAGCTGCTCTGCCAAAGCTGCACGGCCAGCATGGGCCAGCACCAGTTATAAGCTGTGGCTTTCTGTCCTTTTCTGCTATTCTCAAGCTCTACCATGGAGATTCAGACTGCTTTTCTGCCCCAGGGAAGGGACTCCTAAGCCTCACTGCAATTAAACTACAGGACCGGATCAACTACAGCCCAAAGCTGAAGAAGCAAAGACCACAAACTGCCCCCAGAAGCAAACACTGAGTAGCACGTGATTGAGCCAGATTTTGGAAGGCTGAAGATCTCTCCAAGGAAGACAGATCTCTAGATCTGGAGGAGAATGAAATTTTGGGGTGGAGATGACATTTCCATTTCCCAGCTGGAATAAATACCTTCTGAATCACTCATTATTCCCCTGAACATTAATACATTTTGACTCTCAACATTAATATCGTTCCAGTCAGAAGAGAAAAAAAGTAAGGTCATATTAAGAAGAATCTTCAACTAAAATTTTTTTTTCAGCATTCAGTAGTTTTTATCAAGAAGAAATGACTAACAAGACAACCAAAGAGTGCCTTCCTGGGCAGAATGTATGTGGGTTGTGTGTGTCAGAGTGTTTGTGTAAGCAAGTGTGGGCACAGAGGATTCAGTTTTGGCCTCAGTGTATTCCAGCACTAATTTTAATGGAAGGAGGAATCTTATGAATGGAAACAAAACACAAATGTATCTGACCCATGTCGTTTTATAAACTACTGCCCCATTCCACTACAACTCTGCTTGAGAGTCATGATGGGCACACTCTCCATCCCTGATGGGAGGGTGTGCGCTTTTCAGTCCAGTAAGTGGCATTCATATGGCTCCTTCAGCACAATAACCAACACGGCAGCTGCTTCTCGGGGTGAGACTCTCATGTTACCTGCTTGATCCCTTGAGTAAGTTTGGGACCACATCTTCTTGTCCTTGTTTCCCTAGTACCTGCCTAGCCTGGTCCCTGACACATGGCACACTTTCGATGTATCTTAATTACTGTGTAAGCTGTTCAGTTACTGTGCTCTCCTTGGTGCACAAAAAAATAGGCTGTGTTCTTAGAATGTTAGCAGTGAGATATAAAGGATTAGGATTTTTCAGTTAAGTAAAAAGTTCAGTTCACTTATGTAAACATGTTCCTCAAACATTTCAGTTAATTAAGGCTTGGCAGTTCTTTGATGAGCAGCTAGCTATCACAAGCAGTCATTGTCATTGTACCTGTTGCTCTATTTAAAAGCCACTATGTCTCCATTTGCTTTTTTTTTTTTTTTTTTTTGGTACCAGGAATCGAACTCGGGACCCTGCACTTGCAAGGCAGGCATGGTGCCACTAAGCTAAACCCCTGGCCCTCTATTTGTTTTATTGGTAGGCTTGCCCTGGCTGAAGAGCACACCCTCCAACTCTGCGGACTCCATGATTTCTTAGAATACTGTCTAGGTCCTTGTAAAGCTTTTTGTTTTGTTTTATTTTGGATACCAGGGATTGAACTCAGGGCCCTTGCACTTGCGAGGCAGGTGGGGCCAGAACCATTGAGCCAAATCCCCAGCCCAAGACTTTTGTTTCTTGATTGTTTGGTTTTTTTTTTCCCTCTCTGCATTCTCCTACCAGGGGACTCCAAGTACTTTCTCAGCTATTACTTTTTATTTCCAGAAATTCTTTTAAGGATTTGTATGGGTAATACTTGTATACTTTGTAAACAAGTTCAGTCACTAGCAGGAGCATCAGATTTCTTTGGACATAAGCACAGACATGTCCTCTTTTTAGCCCAAGAAGCTTCTACTTCAGGGAGCAAGTGGGCCACAAGGAATCTTAAGAACTGAGTGCTTCTTTGCTGCAAGGGAGCCTACCCAGCCTCCCAGCAGAGCAAATGGTTTCTGCAACCTGCCAGACCAGAGGTCCCACACTTCACCTCCCATGTCTGCATTTCATTCCCTTTGACACTGGCCCTTAGAAAAATGTCATGCCCTTATTTCTACCTTTGCCTACCTTCTGAATGGACACCATTTCCAAAATTCTTAAGTCTTCTCAGGAAGTAGGATGAAAATGGAAGTAGGATGAAAATGGAGATAATGCTTTGGATTATAAATGCTTGCATTATTCATTTATTTATTTATCTCATCTTCTCCTCTGTGAGTTACTCTATTAAGTAATAGAGGAAGTTTTGTTTTGTTTTAAGAGTAGGAAAAATTTATTGAGGGAAAGAAAGCTTCTGTCTTAAGAGTGACAGAAGGGGGACCGAAAAGTGGGTTGCCTGCTCACCCCACTTCTCCAAGATGTTTTCTACAGCAAAGCCATGTGGTGAGGTGGGTACAAAGTGGGACAAAACTATAAGACCCAATGGAAAATTACAAGGTGGGCATGAGGTTGGGCAAAACCATAACCAACCAATAAGATTGCACATACAGTCACCCAGGTAACATTGACTAAATGAAGGTGAAAGGGGGGAGCAAATCATATAGCAAGAGTATATAAGGATTTTTCAGTAAGGGTGGGGGTCAGGGATATTTCCTGGAAAGGCTGGGCTAAGACCTTGGCCCCCCCACCCAGGTAATTGGTACCTATTTAGAATATCAATTTCTACTATTTATCCCTAGGGGAAACACAAGGGTATAATAGTTTCTCTCCTTTTTCAGTTCTGGCCTCAGTGAATGTGTCTTGATTGTCCTCCGTGTTGGCTCCTGGCAGTGTTGGCTCCTTGAGGGAGGCCCTGTCTAACTGCCTACAAGATATCTAATTAACTTACCTATCTGCAATATTCCCCCCTCTGAAGACATACCCTAACTGCTGTGAGGGAGCAGAGGGCAAAGACAGCTCTGGCTACTTCTATCTGAAGAGGGTCATAGTTGTGATGAGCAGTTAGAGTTACTCTACAGAGGGTCTATCTAAAGGCCTTTGGTAAGTGACTGGCATTGTCATCTTGGTAGCTGCATAGCTTTTAAGCCTGGAGGAGACAACGCCAAAGAAACAGTTAAGAATGCATGGGCCAGATTATAAGGTCAGCAAGATTGCTCTGAATATAGCCCACAAAAAGGATAAAGGAGAAGGTCCAGGGGACTTCAGAATATAACACAGAAGTCATATTGTATAGTTTAGCAGTTATGAGCTGTTTACAAGGTCGATTTGGTGAATCCCAGTAAAAAAAGTCTAGCACATTTCTCATTGGTTCCATTTGTATGACTGCTTGGAGTTTGGCAGCCTCTAGGCAAGAACAAACAAAACTTTTAAGAAATTAGAATATTCATAATCTAAGCATGGCACACTAGAATGAAAGGGCAGGTTGGGGAGAAAGTCACACTTAGAAATTGAAATAATGATTGAAACTGCTGGTCTTAGATTCTTTCACTGATAGAGGTTATAAATCTGATACTTTGTCATAAGTCTCTCCAGTTTTAGCTGTAGGATAAGAGACAATTTGAAGAACAGATTTGCTAAGAAATATAAAATTTATAGCTTTTACCGTAGTTTTTCCTAATGTTCCATGGTCAGCTACTGGTAGAGCTGGAAATTGCCAGAAGGGGTCAGTGACTGGGGCCCCTTTTTATCTCTACCTCTATTATTATTGTGGCATTATTTTATACCTCTTTTGGTTTTTCTTTTCTGCTGGGTGTCTAAGGCCAAGTTAAAGTGAGACCTGTGTCAATCAACATGAACCCCTTGCTAGCTATCAAGGTCAGTTAAGTCTCTTCAGGCATTATTTTGGAACCATGCATAGAGCCTCTCAGCCCCTGTCAGTGTCGGCCATCAGGATGGATCATGGCCTTGCTTGATCATGGTGCTTTCAGTGAAAACAGTGACCCTCCTTTGGCATACAGTACATTTGTCCTCTGGTGTCCAGCAATCTCCCTGCTCAGGGGCTTGAGCTTAGGGTTTTGAATGATGACGTCGCACAGGATATGTTATTGATGCCTTCAGGGTTAAGCCATTAGGCTTCATTCCATCTCTCTGTGTCTGCTTGTCTTGGTGCTGTCTATCTTTAGTGCTCAGTTTTGCACCACCTCCTCCGAGGGCCTTTTTGAGCATAATTTTTATTTCCTATGGGCTCACATAAGCCGTTGTTCATGTGTCTTTAACATCTAACTATATTTTATATGTTATGATTTAGACATGCAGTACCTCTTATCTCCCTTGCCACCTTGCTCTCTTGTAAGGATGAGGCCTTAGACATTTGTGTCCCCCACCACATGGTGTCTGCACATAGCAAACATTCAATAAATGTCTGGCTAAATCAAACCTGTGGCATCCCAGGAGATACTTAAATTGACTCTGTAGGTTTTAGTATAGTGTTTTGCTTCCTTAAGCCATTCATAAAAACAGTTTATAAAAAGCATAACATCTCCGCTTGGAGTTCTCTGAGTAGCTACAGCACTGGTGACATTTTATTCCTTTCTGTACAGAAGGAATCTGTAGGAATGCTAGGAGAGACCACAGAGTTAATAATGATGTATTTTTTTTCCTTCCATAAAGCTTAACAATTGAGCTTTAAGAGGGTAGGCATTGCCTTGCTTTGTACATCTTTTGCTAGTGCTTATCACTGGCAAAACAGGGTTATGGACATAACTGAGGTTCAGGAAATATTTGTACAGCAGTTGTGTTAAAAAAGGATGAGTGGGGATGTGTGGGTGCTGTTGGATCGAGTATGAACTGATTTCAGCAACCATCGGCATCACAGTTTAAACTAACTGGAGTTAGTTTACTTAGCACTGTCCCTTCCAGTCTCTAGAAAAGAAAGCTGAGAAGCAATAGCAGCAACCCAACATATTTAGGATACCTGGAGGTAAAACCAAATGCAGAAGTAATTTTTTTTTGTGAGGCCTTTCTCCATAACAACTTCCCACCTACGTTGACAGGGATGTGGAAAGGTGGACAGGAAGAATTGGAAAATTCTTTCATCATGCTCAGTCTATAGCAGCGCTAGTGTTGTGGGGTGTTTTCACTATGTGTGTGTTTCTGATGACCCTCTCCTTACACTCCTAGGCCCGGGTAATGGCAACTATTGGAGTGACCAGGGGACTTGGGGACCATGACCTGAAGGTGCATGACTCCAACATCTACATAAAACCATTCCTGTCTTCAGCTCCAGAGGTACCACATGAGGTTTTCTGTTTATATTTTGTACAATAAAGTATTTTCTACATTATGCCTTCCCTGACTCACACTGATACCCACTTAGTCACATCTACTTCTGCATTGTCTCTCTTGTCACTCCTTTCTCACCTTGACTATCCTAATTTATATCCTCATCACCTCCTGCCCAAGAGAGCTGTGTTGCCTCCTAGCGGCATTCCCTGCCTCCTTCAGTCCAGCCTCCATGTGGCTATCAGGTGACTTTTCTCAAAGCACTCCCTGATTCCTCATTGCTCAGAAACCTTTTTGGCACCATATGGCTTGAAGAATAAAGACAAAATCCTTCAATTGCTATTCAAGGCTTATTGTAATTTAGTCTTTCTAATCTGATCTTTGTTCCTTGTACCAGCCAGATAGACCTGTTTCCAGTACATAATCTTCAGTCTTCCATATTTGTCTAAAACTATTGCTTCTGGCAAGTCTGCCCTTCCTACCCAGCTTTAAACACCCAAGTCTTTTCCTTTATGATTTAATTCAGAGACTTCTCCTATGGAGACTTCCCTGGTTTCCCCCTTTGCCCAGCCAGAGTACTGTCTTTGTCTGTTCCTCATATGCACAGAGCGGCATCTTCTCATGGCATTTTCACCGCCTACCATGTATTATATAGTCACTCATGTGTGCCTGAATCTCTTGGTACATTTTAATGACCTGAAAAACCTGCATTATTTAGTAGTTGTTTGGAGAAGCTAAGTTGGAAAACATTTTGCCCATATGTTTGACTTTTTTTTTTTTTTTAAATCACATTTCCCACAATACTGGAAACAATAGAAGGTTCTATGTTCACATAGTGTCGCTTAGAAAAGATTTTGTGTTATAGAAAACTCTAATGCTAGTTTAGTTGGCGCAGTTCACCTTTTATATAGGCTCACAGGTGACTTCCACCCTAATGATTGCCCCTTCATGTTAGCTGTCAACTCCGATGCCGCTGTAGGCAAAGATATGAGCTGGCATGGTTCCTTTAGAGTCTTTGGAGCTGTGGCTAGTGTCCAAAGTGCATCTAGATATAGGAGCTAAGAGACCACTGAGAGATAAATCTCTAGTAAATATTGGGCATAGAAGATACACATATTCCCTGATAAAAGCCTGGATTTTGAATGAAGTCAGCTTGGAAGAAATAATAACCATTCATCAAGAACCTAAAGATGTTCTTTCTTTGAGCCCTCCCAGCAATTGTGTGAGCAGGACCATCACTACATGCGGTGTTCCGGGTTCCCCCCAAGCTGGTAGATTCCTGGCAACTTGATTTAGGCCAACGTCATAATCCATGAATTACTGCTAAAACTACTTGTCGTGAGAGTAAAGTAATTAATCTTTGAACTCCACTGAGCACAGAGCATAACTGGACTCATACACTTCTGTGTTTTCTTCCTTGGGAAGAAGCCTTTATCAGACATGTTAAATGGTGCTTTCTGCTCTCCAGAAGCATCCTTGAGGATCTCTGAAAATGCTAATTAACCATTTTTCTCCTTAATGCTGCAGACTGAAACTTCCTTCTCTCCTCCCTTTTCCATTTACACTTTTTTATATAGAATGAGAAGAGGTTCAGTGTGGCTGGAAAAAGAATGATCTATATGCAGTTAGATTTTAGATCTTCTAATCTCTCTGCTACTATTAATCCCAGGAAAAGGGATCTTTGAAAATAGGAAGAAAAGGGCTAAAGGTGTAGGGAAAGTGGGAAGGGTAGGGGAAAGGGAATAAGGGAAAAGAAAAAAATATGAGAAAATAAAAAAATGGAAATGAAGTGTTTGTAAAGGGGGAGGGAAAGAGGGGTGAAGGGAGGGCAGGGACAAGGGGGAAAAATGAGAACCAAGACCTGTCATGTAAAGGTACAAGATCCAAGTAATGAATGTAACTGTACTGTATACCTAGAATGTACCAATAAACTCAATAAAAAGAAAAAAATCTTTTTTAGCAATTTTGAAATCAAAAATACATTATTATTAATTATTGTTGTCATGTGGTGCAATAGCTCTCTAAAATCAAGTCCTCCTATTTAATTGAAATTTTAGACCTTTTTAACATTCCCTGTTTTCCATCTGAGACTCTGGAGTTTTTCCATAGTGTCTCATTTAGTCTTCTCAATAATTTTGTCAAGTAAGTGTAGCTGTTGCACCCATTTTACAGATTGGAAAATTTGGACTCAGAGAAAGAAAATAATTTCCCCTGGTTATACAGTTATTAAGTAGAAAGCTAGTGTTTTACCTCAGTCTATCTGATTAGATCAAGGGCTGCTGGAGGGAGGACTGAGTTCAGGGAAATTTCTGCACTCACGGTCCTAGGGACCTATTAGGTACTGATTCTAGGGGCTTTGTCATGAAGCTGAGAACAGTTTTGTCATGCAACCTTATCAGCCAGATTTTCTCAGAAAAATACTACTTGGCCTTGGGCAGAAGTTGAGGGATAGGGTGGCGTAGTAGAAAGGGTAACTGGGAAAGACAGTAATGACTGTGTGTGTGTGTGTGTGTGTGTGTGTGTGTGTGTGTGTGTGTGTGTGTGTGTGTGTGTGTGTGTGTGTGTGTTTGAAGAGCTAAGCCGGACAGAGCTGTGCAAAATAAAATTGTATACCTATAATTTAGCTTAATGAATGTGTACTGTGTGTATACCCTAAGATTCTCTTGCACAAGATTAAAATTGTTGTACATTTTAAATGCTTCCAGATGGAGAGGCCTTAGCCAGAGCCAGAAAAGAAGGGCAGGGTGCTGTTTGAAGGGGAGAGAGGAACAGCTTGAATTGGCTCACGCAGAAAAGAACCGAAGAAAGAAATAGGTTCAGGGAGCCCCCCTCCCCCAAGTCCCAAACCTTCGAGATAACAGCCTTTGCCCTGTGGCAGAAATAATAAATTCAGACCTAAGGGAAACTGTGGTTTCTGTTGGGACCCCGGAAAGCCAGGTTCATTTATTTAAACCATCCAATGAAGACGGACCCTCCCTGTCTTCATTCCCCCACCTCCACCCTCACTTTCTAGCTGTGACTTCCTAAGAGCATTCCCCTGCTTCGCTTTGTCTTTGCCAAGCATGGATCTTTATTTCACATTTGGGTTCTAAATTTCAAACCCAGCTCAGTCTGGAAGTTTTAACGGTTGAGGGGGGTGAGTAAGGAAATGTGATTTTATTTCTAAGAAAAAGGACTTAAAAATCTTCTTGGAAATTAGCATTGTTCCCATTCATCATTGTAGCTCCTAATTTGATTTGATGAGTTAAATATAAGTAAATCAAAAACATGTGGATCAAATTTATGTAAAAAACGCACAGGGGTTTAAAAATTAGAGAAGGCTTTCTAGCCAAACACATTTTCAGTTTTGCTGAATACAAGGCGCTGGAAAAATCTTGAGTTTGCCAAACCTGAAGAACAGTTGCCAGGTTTGCTGAGTCTCTGTCAGACCTTCCAGGGTAGAAGGCAGGGATTTCTGGCCAAGACCTGGATTCCATAAGAGGCCCCTCCAAGGGAACTCAGGCCTGTGAGCTACAGCCTATAAGGGGTGTGTAGGAGAAATTTCACTCTCTGGTCCACATCACCTTGCTTTGTCTGTGTTTTTCCAGCCAGGCTGCAGTCTTTCTGTTTATGAAGCTCTCTGTTAATCTTTTTAGTACTCTCCTGAAAGAGCTTGAGTGGAAGAGGAAAGCATTTGTTAACTCAAAGGCAAGGGAGCCCAGGCCTTCCACATTCCCCGCTTTCCTAATAGTTCTCCCCCGTCCAGGCCAGTGCACACAACGTGTCATATTACTCAGGCAGCTTGGCACAGGCCTGTGCCCAAACTTCCAGATGTTCTCTGTTCCACGCCCCTTTTGGGCCCATGACAGGCCCTCCATAGAGCTGCTTCTTAATTTCACCCTGGTTTTCAACCTCCACTCCAGGACCATGCTATTGCCTTTAACCCCAGTTTGGGCTCTCAGAAGGACAAGGCCTTTTTCTGTCTGGGATCCAGTGTGCAGAGCCAACCCCCCTACTGAGCAATACCCTCTTCTTGCCCTTGCCAGACGGAACCACAAGGAGCTCAATTTTTTCTCTGCTTCATTTTTCCTCTTCTTAGTTTTTAGGATTTCAATCAGCTGTGTTTTTATAATTCTGGATCACTCATTTAGCTCATTTTTAGGAATTTTTTAATCTAAATAATATTTTCTCTTTTATCTGAAACAGTCTTCTCTAAAAGAACAAAGGCTTCAGACTTCAATATCCAGCCCCAGTGCCTCTGGTACCTGTGGCCTGCACAAGTGATTTCAGCAGTCTTTCCCCTTCTTTAAGGTCATGATAAAAGGCCTGTATTGACAAAGTTATTCAGAAGAACAGATGAGGACATTAGAGGCACTGCCTGGCATGAGGTCTGGTGCATGGTCAGAGACAGTAAATGTTCTGTCTTTCAAGAGGCTTCGCACTTCAGGATTCTGTGTGTTCATGATCATATGAAGAGAGAATGACTACTTATTTTGGTATTCCTATTATTTCCCATGAAAACCTGAATAATATTTAAGATCTCATATTTGCATCCTAACATCTGTAGACTTCTAGTTCTTGGTTTCTATTTGTGGCTCCAAGTCAAAATCTCATTTTGAGAAAGAGCATATTTTATTGTATTTTGTGCTTTCAGTAGTCTGGCCAATTCATAAAAAAACAATATCATACTATAACAACATGGGGAAATGTTTGCACTGCAAGTGAAATAGGTGACTGTGTATACAAAGTTTGAACATTGATTCAAAAATGTATGTACATAGCTGAACATCTTGACATTTTCTAAAAGAGTAACAGTAATTACCTCTGGGTGATACAAGAGGGAAGACTTGTTTAAAAGATTTCCCTAGTCCCCTCAAAATAGCTCTAAGAAAGGGCATTCCAATGCAGTGGTTAAAAACCCAGGCTAGGAATCAGCCTTGAACTTTGTCTCTAAACTTACTAGCTGAGTGCCTTTCAAATAGTTATTTTACATAAATCTCAGCTGCTTCTTCAGTAAAAAGGACCCT